CCCTGAATCGTCTTGCATGAGAGAATACAGAGACGAGTGAGCTCTTGGATAGATGTTGTTGGCGTCATGCGAAAATCATGTCTTCTTCCGCTGGGTTGATCGATCTTGTGGCGCTTGTCACAGACTTCGGATTTGGAACGCATACACGTGTCGTTCTGTCTCTTCTCGTTGCTCGTTTTCTTATTTCTTATTTCTTCTTTTATTTTTTTTCTTTGTTTTCTCTTCTCTTCGTTGCATACACGTGCCCTTGTTGATTGGGTCATTTACGTTTCGAGCTCTCTCTCCCTGTCTCGGCTGAAAGAGGACATCCACCCTCCCTCCACTCCTTCCCCATCCCAACCGCCATGGTCAACGGCGGCACATGATTCCTCCCTCCGCTCCTCATTGACGGCTCGATAGGGAGAGATGACAAAACACCAAAACTTTGTCTTCATGGTATAGGCTGAAGGGAAGAGGATTAGACAAAAGAGCTGCCTTTTCTTTTCCTCCGACAACCCGTCCTTGCGCTGTGCTTGCGCCATGCTTGCGCTGTTCGTGGGCCGTCCTTGCGCCGTTCTTGCGCCGTCCTTGCGCGTTCTTGGCTAGTACTAAGCAAAGCTCGTTAGACGAGCTGTACATGAAGGCGGAGGATGCGCCACGGAAGAAGGAACAGAACTTTGAAAAGATAAGAGAGCTTTTTGCCCATCATATGATTTGTCCGCCGGTCGCAGGTAATCAATCTCCCTTTTCTCCCGACCTGCACTGGCCACTGGTAATTGGATGATCCGATCCGACCCGATCCCGACCCCGATCAGATCCCGATCAGATCCGATCCGATATCTCCGACGATGACGACACTGTCAGGTGCCAGGAGGATGCTCTCCTCCTCGGAGTCATTAATGCGTCTTACCAGTATAATTCATTTTTTGTCGTTTAAACGTTAAAGCGTCGTCGCTCTTTTACGTCCCGCCATTTTTTTGTGTTGCTTTTGTTTTTCCTCTTTTCTCTCACCCGTCGCCGAGCGATTGCCTCCCTTGGCTATTTTTTTTTTCTCCTCCTCTTCATTTTCTCACGTCTTCCAACGGTGGTCAACCTTTTCCTCCTTGATCCCGACCGCTTTTCTACTTCTTCTTCTTCTTCTTCTTCTTCTTCTTCTTCTTCTTCTCCTTCTTCTTCTTCTTCGTCTCATTCTTCCTTTTTTTTTTTTTTTTTTTTTTTTTTGCTTACACACACAATCACATACGGATCGCTCCCGCGCTCGCTCACCTTCTCAGTCCTCTCGTCGCTTAGCTGCGAGCTAGCACTGGCGGCCGTACTGGAGCACGCTGTCAGCGTGCAGTCCGCGTCACCCGCTTCTCCGCGCGCATCGAGGATCGGGGGACCTCCTCCTCCTTTCGTTTCTGCCAGATTCTCCCATCTTGTTTATCATCGCCGTTTTTTGCCGCCCGCCCCGCTGACTAGCATGACCAAACGTCAGGTCGTCTGCGCGGCATGGTCCTTGATTGATCGATCGATCGATTGATTCATTCATTCATTCTTGAATGAGGTTTTCAAGGAGCAGAATAGGCTTTCTTACTTTCGTCTTTTTTTTTTGCGGGTTCCTTTGGTCCAAAGTAATCATCATGACATTGATGGAATGATGAAGTTGGACAAATGATTGCAATGATTGGATGACGTGGCCAAGCAACGGATTGATTGGTCGAGGGGGGCGGGCGGGACGGACAGTTGTACTACTCAGAGCGTTTTTTTTGTGTCATTTCAGGCGTCACCGTTCGACTCTAACCTCTCAAGCAGCAATGCCTGGGGCTCTGTTGGCTGCGGGCCACGTCAACGGAATCTTCAGCTTCTTCTGGTGGTGGTCCCCCACCACGACGGAACGCTCTCACACATCAGACGGAGACAGGAACCCCTCACCTTTCAAGGGCTTCTTCCGATGGTGGTCCCCACCAACGACCAGACACGCTATCTAGGCTCCTCCTGGTGCCATAGGTCTGTCCTCGGAATCTATCGAGGCGACGATACGATAGGGCCGGATAGGCAATTGGGATCCGGTGCCACTGTCAAGGTTTGGCACAAAGTGCACAGAGAAAGAGAGAGAGAGAGAGAGAGAGAGAGAGAGAGAGAGAGAGAGAGAGAGAGAG